ATATTTTCAATTAATTTAAAAAATAACTTAAATTATTCGTTACTACTAATTAATATTTCGTTGATTAAAGCACATAACTAAAATATGTTCGTAAAAAATAAATATTACGAAAACAACATCCTTTTTTCGAATTAAAAAAAAGAATACTTTCATTCATAATAATTAAATAATTTAAAAGAAATACTAAAGTTTTAAAATATAACTTTTTCCATTATGGAATAAATTAAAATATTTGATACGTTAATTTCTTCAGCAACTTTTATTTCATCATAAAAGTGAAAAAATAAAAGGGAAAAGAAAACATCAGAAACTTATGATCAGGAAACTTAGGACTCTCTTTCTTCTCTTACATTTCACGTACCATCTTATCATAATATATTGTAACGTTCTTCAGGACTTTTGAAGAAGAAGAACATATTGATTTATACATTTGAAATCAATCGTTCACCTGTAATTATCCATTCCTCTGTTAAATAAAGTTTAATTTAAAATCAACCTATGCATGCCTTGCATCTTACATAAAACTATAATTTAAATCCCTCGATCAAGACTTGGCTTGATAAACAATAAACTATTTTCTGAGAAATTTCTTTCATTGTGTAAGGGTCAGAATGTATATAAATAAACAAATATTGGTTTAAATGTTTTTTTTATGTTCTTAGTTAATGAGAAACACCTGGTAACACGCTAATAGCTTGGTAGTGAAATTTCGGATTTTGATAAAACCTGAACACACTATGGCAACATTAAGTTTTCATTGTTAAGTTTCCATTATTCTTTGTAACGTCCTTTATTTTTTTTATTTCAGACTCGACAGTTTTTGGATGAACCACACGAAAAGCTTTTGAATTAAAATAGCTCATCTAGACATTTTGGAGTGAAAACGAAAGATGATAATACAAAATAAGTATACCTTGAGTATATATTTAACAGAAAACCATAATATCATTACAAAATCTATTGGCATAACGAATTATTTGTCCACATGAGCGCCATTCCATCTTAGTCAAAGAAATCTGTCAAATCTTTATCGTTGCAGGTTGGACTGCCTCTGCTGCAATTTCGATAGTCGCCCATAGGATATCTTTCGACGTAAATTGGCGCTCAACGGCATAAGCATCTTGTTTAATGATGGACCAAATATTTTCGATAGGGCTGAGGTCCGGTGAGGCAGGCCGCCATACTATCAAGCATTCACCTAGGAATGGTTGGGGGACACTGGAAGAATGGGAGAGACCGTTGTCATTCATAAATATTAGAGTCCTTAGAAGTGACAGCGTTATATCATATAGCCATGGATTCACAACGTTTAAAAGATTGTAGTGGACAGTTGCAATCACTTTAAAAACTTCAGACACCATGACTGGGACAACAAGTCTGACTACAAGGATAGCAGGCCACAATATGACTCGTCCACCCTGTTGTTGACGTTGTAAACGTTGGTGACCCTCATCTCCGAAATAGACCCAACTATTTGACAACCGCCAGTCCCGTCAAGAGTCGCCCTGTTCTCGTCCGTGAATAGAACACATGTCCAACGTCATGTACTTCCGAGCCTACTGAATTCTTGTGACGGGGCGTTAAAGTTTCAAGGGAGATTGCACGGAAGCCATGGTCCCGTGGATGGAATTTTTGGTGGTTTTCAGTACATGAGGAAGTCCAGCGGTGGTGAAAATCGCTTTGCTTGTCCAGATTTCCAACGTCAATCTCGGATAATATTCCTTAAATCCCTAGCTGTCACACTCTTAGACGTTCCACAATCGGATCGTTTCTTCACTGGCGAATGATTCCACATGAAGATCTAACCTAACCGCAATGACATAAAGAGAGATGCCTTTATCACTTTCCTTTTCTTCATCGTTTCCATGAACCATTATTCTTAGAAAGGATGGCCGAATAAAAAATCCTTGTTTTAATATTCTATCATTAAAAGCAATTTTAATGAACACTAAAAGATACAGATTATAATTTACGTTGGAAATTTAATTGAATATATTTCGTCATTATTCTATTAAGATTACGAATAAAGAACAATATTGTTGTAGTAATTATGATATAGCCGTTTGCATATAAGAAACATTCGGCATTCCTTGGAGTTTTATGAATGTTTTTTCTTTAAGCAACTGTTCAGTTAATAGGCTTGTCAGTCTATAATTGTTATCGGTATTTGCACTATTGCTAAGGTTACCTCCTTAATAGTTTGTTTAAGATAATGGAGGAAGTCAGCATTTTCATTATATCAATATTTTTCATTGCAGCAACTCATTTATGTTGTTGCTTCTGTTGGACATTTATTGTGATGCGGTTTCTGGTTATTTGATAAAGCTCTTTGCCATTCTGTGGGGCCAGTCTATAAAAACCGATGAACGGTTGTCTTCTTTCTTCTAGAGGCTTCATTTATGAACGATTTATAGTCCATGCATAAAATCAATATTCGAGTCTAGATCTTGACACTTCTCAGGTTAACCTTTTGGTTTTGTAGCACCTTCAAATGTTGGACGAATCTAACCCGAGTGCAACCGATTCTGTGTTCAAATTTCTATATTGGGGTTTTTGAAGCGTTTAGAATTTATTGATTTCACTTTCTGAATTTTTTTTATGATGGATTCTTTTATGAGCTATTTATACACTCTGTGGTGCATATGTTAATATTATTAATTTCTATTTTATTATTATGCTAGTATTATTAATTTCTATTTTACTATTATGTAGTATTATTAATTTCTAGTTTATTATTATGTTAGTGTTATTCATTTTATAAAAAATTGTAAGTAATAGCTAAATACACTGTTTTTATTAAAAGTGGTCGCCAGTAAAAAAAAAAAAAAAAAATTGGAACCGGAAGCTTAAAAGATGAACATTTTAGGCTGTCATCTATCTTTGATGTCTTACAGCCAATAGAAAACTATTAGTTGTGCTATGAACGTAACAAATATGTCTTTAATTTTATGTTTCTACGTAACTTTAAATACTTTCAGCAGTTATAGGAATTTATATTTTATTCAGAAGAGACATTTTTATGAAAGGATTTAGGCAAATTACAATTTGAAATATCAACGACAATATTTCTTTCACACCTGTAGATTACCTCCCGCGGGAAGTCATTTTTTTTGTGTGTTCACCTCTGCATATAATATTATGTTACTTCAAAAATGTCTACGCCGATTTCATTTACGCAACAAGAAACGCAACAAGAAATGAATCAATATTTTCAGATTTTTCATCAAAAGACAGAGAATATTAAAATAAAAATATTTTAAAAGCTTTGTGTGTTTTAACAAAACCGTCGACACGTTGTCAAATACATAGTATATTAATGAAATATACACACACTTATATATAACGGAAAAGAACTTGTATCTAATGGAGAATACAAAGACATATATAACGGAGAAGAATGTTCCATTAAATCTTAAAGAAAAATCCGTTGGAAATGGGGAATATTGCAGAGAAAAACGGTAAAGCATGCCTGTAAAACCAGGAAAACCTTGCCTTCTACTTAGAACTACAGTAGGCGCATGTTCGTTTCAGATTAGAAAATAGGACAGATTGATTGGTTAAGTGGATGTGCATCGAAAAAAATACTGTTGATTATGCTTGTGTTTTTAGCCCAAATTAGATTAAGTAGGGACGGATGATAGATAAACAAATTCCGAGTGATTAGAAACATATTTTTTAACAGTATCAGTCATATAAATAATTATAAACGTTTAAAAAGGGTTTATGTATGTAACTTATTACCTGCTAGTGTTTAAAGCTTGAAAATTAATGGTATAAAGTGTCATATAGGAAGAAAACTACCAACATCGAGGTTTGAACGTGACACTCTGAACTTATGAATATATATTTTCCTCAAGATGTATAAATAGCGGTGTCAGGCTACTGACTACAGTGATTATTGAGTAACTATTGAATGGAAATATCCAGTGGAATTAGTGTGAATTATTGTGCGTCGATGATTTTCGTTTTGATTTAGCACTTACCGGACGTTAATCCGAACCCCGCTACTAACAAGGTATTCACTGAAATTATCATCTTTGGTTTACTTTTAATTCTTTGTTCTTGTTAAGTATTTATTTGCGATTGTAATTAAATACTGATTTATTTTAACATTGAAGCCTTGATTTATATTTAATTATTAACAGCCACCGTACGTCAGCAAATAAAATGCAATTAATTAAAGGAGACGTATGACTTTTTTTTTTAAAAAATAATAGACATCGAAATCCGAGGGCGCATTGTGATAGCAAATATTCTAAGCAGAGTATTAATAAATAAGAATATCCTGTTAGATACAAGGAAAATCGTACTTAAATCATAGAATCGTTCTTCTTATATTGCAGATGATGAAGAAATCTGAAGCAACATAAGTGTGATTCTACAAAAGGGTGATGGGAATTCTATGAACTGACCATGTGAGTAACAACGAAGGTCTTCGAGAAAATGGAAACAAAAAGGACACTATGCTTAACATCAGATAGAGTAAATTGGAATTTCAAGGGCAGAGGAAACAGAGCTTAGGAAATTGTTGAAGCTTGAATAAAGCATGGAATAATAATAATACAACACAAAATGTACTTAAACAAAATGTATTGAAACAAGAAAGTGTACACAATATTTACAGAGAGTTTTGGTATATTCTTGGGAAGACCGTTCCTGTAGAATGGGTTGACTTTGTCGCAGTCGGGCAGAGTCTCTGGATTGGATCTCTTCTTACTCCCTCCATCGTCTTCCCGGTACCAACCCATATTTATATGGTCGGTACTCCACTATGTAAATTAGGTGAATCGTACCACAACAGAAATGTAACACTGACAGGGCATATTGATGGTAAGAGGGGAAGAAAAAAGGCAGCGTATAACGTTTCTAAGAAGTTTGGCAAAGCAAAGAATAGGAGAGATAACGAAAGAAGAAAGTTACTGGATATTGTGGAGAGCCAAGGTCACCAAAGTTCTGAAAGAACATGGAACAAAGAAGAAGAAGAAGAATTACGCTGTATTTTATCGTTGCAAAGAATGAGACGAACTGCCAGTGCGTGGAAAATGAACGAACTCCAGTGCGTGGACATGAAAAAGAAGAACTGCCGGTGGTGGACATGAAAGAAGAACTGCCAGTGCGTGGACATGAAAGAAGAACTGCCGGTGCGTGGACATTGCCAGTGGTGGACATGAAAGAAGGACTGCCGGTGCGTGGACATGAAAGAAGAACTGCCAGTGCGTGGATTGAGAGACGAACTGCCAGTGCGGACATGAGAGACGAACTGCCAGTGCGTGGACATGAAAGAAGAACTGCCGGTGCGTGGACATGAAAGAAGAACTGCCAGTGCGTGGACCTGCCAGTGCGTGGACATGAAAGAAGAACTGCCGGTGCGTGGACAAAAAGAAGAACTTTATGAGTGGACGTGAAGAAGAACCTGCCGGTGCGTGGAAAGAAGAACTGCCGGTTGGACATGAAAGAAGAACTGCCGGTGCGTGGACATGAGAGACGAACTGCCAGTGCGTGGACATGAAAGAATATGTAAAGAAGAACCAAGCCGGTGTAACATGAAAGATCGAACTGCCAGTGCGTGGACATGACTGCCAGTGCGTGGACATGAAAGAAGAACTGCCGGTGCGTGGAAAAAGAAGAACTGCCAGTGCGTGGACATGAAAGAAGAACTGCCAGTGCGTGGAGAAAGCACATGAAAGAAGAACTGCCGGTGCGTGGACATGAGAAGAACTGCCAGTGCGTGGATATGAAAGAAGAACTTTGGACATGAAAGAAGAACTACCGGTGCGTGGACATGAAGAAGAACTGCCGGTGAAAAGAAGAACTGCCGGTGCGTGGACATGAGAGAAGAACTGCCGGTGCGTGGACATGAAAGAAGAACTGCCGGTGCGTGGACATGAAAGAAGAACTGCCAGTGCGTGGACATGAAAGAAGAATAAGCCGGTGCGTGGACATGGAAGAAGAACTGCCAGTGCGTGGACATGAAAGAAGAACTGCCGGTGCGTGGACGTGAAAGAAGAACTGCCAGTGCGTGGACATGAAAGAAGAACTGCCGGTGCGTGGACATGAAAGAAGAACTGCCAGTGCGTGGACATGAAAGAAGAACTACCAGTGCGTGGACATGAGAGACGAACTGCCGGTGCGTGGACATGTGCCAGTGCGTGGACATGAAAGAAGAACTGCCAGTGCGTGGACATGAAAGAAGAAAACTGCGTGCGTGGACATGAAAGACGAACTGCCAGTGCGTGGACATGAAGAAGAACTGCCAGTGCGTGGACATGAAAGAAGAACTGCCAGTGGACATGAAAGAAGGAACTGCCAGTGCGTGGACATGAAGAAGAACTGCCAGTGCGTGGACATGAGAGAAGAACTGCCAGTGCGTGGACATGAAAGAAGAACTGCCAGTGCGTGGACATGAAAGAAGAACTGCCAGTGCATGAAAGACGAACTGCCAGTGCGTGGACATGGACATGAAGAGAACTGCCGGTGTGTGGACATGAAAGAAGAACTGCCAGTGCGTGGACATGAGAGACGAACTGCCAGTGCGTGGACATGAAAAAGAACTGCCGGTGCGTGGACATGAAAGAAGAACTGCCGGTGCGTGGACGAAAAGAAGAACTGCCAGTGCGTGGACATGAAAGAAGAACTGCCAGTGAAAGAGAAGAACTGCCTGTGCGTGGACATGAAAGAAGAACTGCCACGTGGACATGAGAGACGAACTGCCAGTGCGTGGACATGGACATGAAAACTGCCGGTGCGTGGACATGAAAGAAGAACTGCCAGTGCGTGGACATGAAAGAAGAACTGCCAGTGCGGGACAACATGAAAGAAGACAGTGGACATGAAAGAAGAACTGCCAGTGCGTGGACATGAAAGAAGAACTGCCAGTGCGTGGACATGAAAGAAGAACTGCCAGTGCGTGGACATGAAGAACTGCCGGTGACATGACGAACTGCCAGTGCGTGGACCAAAGAAGAACTGCCAGTGCGTGGACATGAAAGAAGAACTGCCAGTGCGTGGACATGAGAGAAGAACTGCCAGTGCGTGGACAGAAAGACAACTGCCGGTGCGTGGACATGAAAGAAGAACTGCCGGTGCGTGGACATGAAAGAAGAACTGCCGGTGCGTGGACAAAAGAAGAACTGCCAGTGCGTGGACATGAAAGAAGAACTGCCGAGTGCGTGGACATGAGAGACGAACTGCCAGTGCGTGTGAAAGACGAAGTGCGTGGACATGAAAGAAGAACTGCCAGTGCGTGGACCAGTGCCGGTGGAAAGAAGGACGCCGGTGCGTGGACATGAAAGAAGAACTGCCAGTGCGTGGACATGAAAGAAGAACTGCCAGTGCGTGGACATGAAGAAGAACTGAGTGCGTGGGACATGAAAGAAGAACTGCCAGGTGCGTGGACATGAAAGAAGAACTGCCAGTGCGTGGACATGAAAGAAGAACTGCCAGTGCGTGGACATGAGAGACGAACTGCCGGTGCGTGGACATGAAAGAAGAACTGGACATGAAAGAAGAACTGCCGGTGCGTGGACATGGAAGAACTGCCAGTGCGTGGACATGAAAGAAGAACTACCAGTGCGTGGACATGAGAGACGAACTGCCAGTGCGTGGACATGAAAGAAGAACTGCCGGTGCGTGGACATGAAAGAAGAACTGCCAGTGCGTGGACATGAAAGAAGAACTGCCGGTGCGTGGACATGAAAGAAGAACTGCCAGTGGGACATGAAAGAAGAACTGACAGAGAAACTGCCAGTGGACATGAAAGAAGAACTGCCGGTGCGTGGACATGAAAGAAGAACTGCCGGTGCGTGGACATGGAAGAACTGCCATGACATGAAAGAAGAACTGCGAAGACGAACTGCCAGTGCGTGGACATGAAAGAAGAACTGCCAGTGCGTGGACATGAAAGAACCCGGTGCGTGGACATGAGAGACGAACTGCCAGTGCGTGGACGTGGACATGAAAGAAGAACTGCCAGTGCGTGGACATGAAAGAAGAACTGACTGAAAGAAGAACTGCCAGTGCGTGGACATGAAAAGAACTGCCAGTGCTGCCTGCCGGTGCGTGGACATGAAAGAAGAACTGCCGGTGCGTGGACGAAACTGCGTGGACTGAAGAACTGCCGGTGCGTGGACATGAAAGAAGAACCGGTGCGTGGACAGTGCCAGTGCGTGGACATGAAAAGAAGAACTGCCAGTGCGTGGACATGAGACGAACTGCCTGTGCGTGGACATGAAGAAGAACTGCCAGTGTGTGGAAGAAGAACTGCCAGTGCGTGGGACGCAGAGAAGAACTGCCAGTGCGTGGACATGAAAGAAAGAACTGCCGGTGCGTGGACATGAAAGTGCGTGGACATGAAAGAAGAACTGCCAGTGCGTGGACATGAGAGACGAACTGCCAGTGCGTGGACATGAAAGAAGAACTGCCGGTGCGTGGACTTGAAAGACGAACTGCCAGTGCGTGGACATGAAAGAAGAACTGCCAGTGCGTGGACATGAAAGAAGAACTGCCGGTGCGTGGACATGAAAGAAGAACTGCCAGTGCGTGGACATGAACATGAAGAACTGCCAGTGCGTGGACATGAAAGAAGAACTGCCAGTGCGTGGACATGGACGAACGCCAAGAAGAACTGCCGCGTGACATGAAAGAAGAACTGCCGGTGCGTGGACATGAAAGAAGAACTGCCGGTGCGTGGACATGAAAGAAGAACTGCCAGTGCGTGGACATGAAAGAAGAACTGCCGGTGCGTGGACATGAAGAAGAGTGCGTGGACATGAAAGAAGAACTGCCAGTGCGTGGACATGAAAGAAGAACTGCCGGTGCGTGGACATGAAAGAAGAACTGCCGTGCGTGGACATGAAAGAAGAACTGCCGGTGCGTGGACATGAAAGAAGAACTGCCGGTGTGGACGCCAGAAGAAGAACTGCCGGTGCGTGGACATGAAAGAAGAACTGCCGGTGCGTGGACATGAAAGAAGAACTGCCGGTGCGTGGACATGAAAGAAGAACTGCCAGTGCGTGGACATGAAAGAAGAACTACCAGTGCGTGGACATGAAAGAACTGCCGGTGCGTGGACATGAAAGAAGAACTGCCAGTGCGTGGACAAGAGAAGAACTGCCAGTGCGTGACATGAAAGAAGAACTGCCGGTGCGTGGACATGAAAGAAGAACTGCCGGTGCGTGGACATGAAAGAAGAACTGCCAGTGCGTGGACAACTGCCAGTGCGTGGACATGAGAGACGAACTGCCAGTGCGTGGACATGAAGAAGAACTGCCGGTGCGTGGACATGAAAGAAGGACTGCCGGTGCGTGGACATGAAAGAAGAACTGCCAGTGCGTGGACATGAAAGAAGAACTGCCAGACAGAACTGCCGGTGCGTGGACATGAAAGAAGAACTGCCAGTGCGTGGACATGAGACGAACTGCCAAAAGAACTGCCGGTGCGTGGACATGAAAGAAGAACTGCCAGTGCGTGGACATGAAAGAAGAACTGCCAGTGCGTGGACATGAAAGAACTGCCGGTGCGTGGAAGAACTGCCAGTGCGTGGACGCGGTGCGTGGACATGAAAGAAGAACTGCCAGTGCGTGGACATGAAGAAGAACTGCCAGTGCGTGGACATGAAAGAAGAACTGCCGGTGAAAAGAAGAACTGCCAGTGCGTGGACATGAAAGAAGAACTGCCGGTGCGACATGAAAGAAGAACTGCCGGTGCGTGGACATGAAAGAAGAACTGCCGGTGCGTGGACATGAAAGAAGAACTGCCAGTGCGTGGACATGAGACGAACTGCCAGTGCGTGGACATGAAAGAAGAACTGCCGGTGCGTGGACATGAAAAGAAGAACTGCCAGTGCCAGTGGTGGACATGAAAGAAGAACTGCCAGTGCGTGGACATGAAAGAAGAACTGCCAGTGCGTGGACATGAAAGAAGAACTGCCGGTGCGTGGACATGAAAAGAAGAACTGCCAGTGCGTGGACGCCGATGAGACGTGGAAAGAACTGCTGCCAGTGCGTGGACATGAGAGACGAACTGCCAGTGCGTGGACATGAAAGAAGAACTGCCGGTGCGTGGACATGGACTGAACTGCCAGTGCGTGGACATGAAAGAAGAACTGCCGGTGCGTGGACATGAAAAAGAAGAACTGCCAGTGCGTGGACATGAAAGAAGGACTGCCGGTGAACATGAAAGAAGAACTGCCAGTGCGTGGACATGAAAGAAGAACTGCCGGTGCGTGGACATGAAAGAAGAACTGCCGGTGCGTGGACATGAAAAGAACTGCCACTGCGTGGACATGAAAGAACTGCCAGTGCGTGGACATGAAAGAAGAACTGCCAGTGCGTGGACACGAACTGCCAGTGCGTGGACATGAAAGAAGAACTGCCGGTGCGTGGACATGAAAGAAGAACTGCCAGTGCGTGAAACAGAACTGCCAGTGCGTGGACTGCCAGAGTGCGTGGACATGAAAGACGAACTGCCGGTGCGTGGACATGAAGAACTGCCGGTGCGTGGACGCGAAAGGACTGCCGGTGCGTGGACATGAAAGAAGAACTGCCACATGAAGAAGAACTGCCGGTGCGTGGACATGGACAACTGCCAGTGCGTGGACATGAAGAAGAACTGCCAGTGCGTGGACATGAAAGAAGAACTGCCGGTGCGTGGACATGAAAGAAGAACTGCCAGTGCGTGGACATGAGAGACGCCGGTGCGTGGACATGAAAGAAGAACTGCCACATGAAAGAAGAACTGCCGGTGCGTGGACATGAAAGAAGAACTGCCGGTGCGTGGACATGAAAGAAGAACTGCCAGTGCGTGGACATGAAAGAAGAACTGCCAACATGAAAGACGAACTGCCTGTGCGTGGACATGAAAGAAGAACTGCCAGTGTGTGGACGCCAGTGAAACATGAACTGCCAACTGCCAGTGCGTGGACATGAAAGAAGAACTGCCAGTGCGTGGACATGAAAGAAGAACTGCCGGTGCGTGGACATGAAAGAAGAACTGCCGGTGCGTGGACATGAAAGAAGAACTGCCGGTGGACATGAAAGAAGAACTGTGCGTGGACATGAGACGAACTGCCAGTGCGTGGACATGAAAGAAGAACTGCCGTTGCGTGGACATGAAAGAAGGACTGCCGGTGCGTGGACGAAAGAAGAACTGCCAGTGCGTGGACATGAAAGAAGAACTGCCAGTGCGTGGACATGAAAGAAACTGCCGGTGCGTGGACATGAAAGAAGAACTGCCTGTGCGTGGACATGAAAGAAGAACTGCCAGTGCGTGGACGATGAAAGAAGAACTGCCAGTGCGTGGACATGAAAGAAGAACTGCCAGTGCGTGGACATGAAAGAAGGACTGCCGGTGCGTGGACATGAAAGGAAACTGCCGTTGCGAAAGAAGAACTGCCGGTGCGTGGACATGAAAGAAGAACTGCCAGTGCGTGGACATGAGAGACGAACTGCCTGTGCGTGGACATGAAAGAAGAACTGCCAGTGTGTGGACATGAAAGAAGAACTGCCAGTGCGTGGACGCAAGAGACGAACTGCCAATGCGTGGACATGAAAGAAGAACTGCCGGTGCGTGGACATGAAAGAAGGACTGCCAGTGCGTGGACATGAAAGAAAGAACTGCCAGTGCGTGGACATGAAAGAAGAACTGCCTGTGCGTGGACATGAAAGAAGAACTGCCAGTGCGTGGACACGAAAAGACGAACTGCCTGTGGACATGACATGAAAGAAGAACTGCCAGTGCGTGGACATGAGAGACGAACTGCCAGTGCGTGGACATGAAAGAAGAACTGCCAGTGCGTGGACATGAAAGAAGAACTGCCGGTGCGTGGACATGAAAGAAGAACTGCCAGTGCGTGGACATGAGAGACGAACTGCCAGTGCGTGGACATGAAAGAAGAACTGCCGGTGCGTGGACATGAAAGAAGAACTGCCGGTGCGTGGACATGAAAGAAGAACTGCCAGTGCGTGGACAACTGAAAGAACATGAACTGCCAGTGCGTGGACATGAAAGACGAACTGCCTGTGCGTGGACATGAAAGAAGAACTGCCAGTGTGTGGACATGAAAAGAAGAACTGCCAGTGCGTGGACATGAGAGAGAACTGCCAGTGCGTGGACATGAAAGAAGAACTGCCGGTGCGTGGACATGAAAGAAGGACTGCCGGTGCGTGGACATGAAACATGAAGAACTGCCAGTGCGTGGACATGAAAGACGAACTGCCAGTGGACATGAAAGAAGAACTGCCGGTGCGTGGACATGAAAGAAGAACTGCCAGTGCGTGGACATGAGAGACGAACTGCCAGTGCGTGGACATGAGAGACGAACTGCCTGTGCGTGGACATGAAAGAAGAACTACCAGTGCGTGGACATGAAAGAAGAACTGCCAGTGCGTGGACATGAAAGAAGAACTGCCAGTGACATGAAAGAAGAACTGCGTGGACGCGAGAGACGAACTGCCGGTGCGTGGACATGAAAGAAGAACTGCCAGTGTGTGGACATGAAAGAAGAACTGCCAGTGCGTGGACATGAGAGACGAACTGCCAGTGCGTGGACATGAAAGAAGAACTGCCGGTGCGTGGACATGAAAGAAGGACTGCCGGTGCGTGGACATGAAGAACTGCCAGTGCGTGGACATGAAAAGAAGAACTGCCAGTGCGTGGACATAAGAGACGAACTGCCTGTGCGTGGACATGAAAGAAGAACTGCCAGTGTGTGGACATGAAAAGAAGAACTGCCAGTAAGTGGACATGAGAGACGAAGTGCCAGTGCGTGGACATGAAAGAAGAACTGCCGGTGCGTGGACATGAAAGAAGGACTGCCGGTGCGTGGACATGAAAGAAGAACTGCCAGTGCGTGGACATGAGAGACGAACTGCCAGTGCGTGGACATGAAAGAAGAACTGCCGGTGCGTGGACATGAAAGAAGGACTGCCGGTGCGTGGACATGAAAGAAGAACTGCCAGTGCGTGGACATGAAAGAAGAACTGCCAGTGCGTGGACATGAGAGACGAACTGCCTGTGCGTGGACATGAAAGAAGAACTGCCAGTGTGTGGACATGAAAGAAGAACTGCCAGTGCGTGGACATGAGAGACGAACTGCCAGTGCGTGGACATGAAAGAAGAACTGCCGGTGCGTGGACATGAAAGAAGGACTGCCGGTGCGTGGACATGAAAGAAGAACTGCCGGTGCGTGTACATGAGAGACGAACTGCCAGTGTGTGGACATGAAAGAAGAACTGCTGGTGCGTGGACGCCAAAAGAAGAACTGCCAGTGCGTGGACATGAGAGACGAACTGCCAGTGCGTGGACATGAGAGACGAACTGCCTGTGCGTGGACATGAAAGAAGAACTGCCAGTGTGTGGACATGAAAGAAGAACTGCCAGTGCGTGGACGCACCGAGACGAACTGCCAGTGCGTGGACATGAAAGAAGAACTGCCGGTGCGTGGACATGAAAGAAGGACTGCCGGTGCGTGGACATGAAAGAAGAACTGCCAGTGCGTGGACATGAGACGAACTGCCAGTGCGTGGACATGAAAGAAGAACTGCCGGTGTGTGGACATGAAAGAAGGACTGCCGGTGCGTGGACATGAAAAGAAGAACTGCCAGTGCGTGGACATGAGAGACGAACTGCCAGTGCGTGGACATGAAAGAAGAACTGCCGGTGCGTTGATATGAAAGAAGGACTGCCGGTGCGTGGACATGAAAGAAGAACTGCCAGTGCGTGGACATGACTGCCAGTGCGTGGACATGAAAAGAAACTGCCGGTGCGTGGACATAAAAGAAGGACTGCCGGTGCGTGGACATGAAAGAAAAACTGCCAGTGCGTGGACGCCGAACTGCCGGTGCGTGGACATGAAAGAAGAACTGCCGGTGCGTGGACATGAAAGAAGGACTGCCGGTGCGTGGACATGAAAGAAGAACTGCCAGTGCGTGGACATGAGAGACGAACTGCCAGTGCGTGGACATGAGAGACGAACTGCCAGTGCGTGGACATGAAAGAAGAACTGCCAGTGCGTGGACATGAGAGACGAACTGCCAGTGCGTGGATATGAAGAAGAACTGCCGGTGCGTGGACATGCCAGTGCGTGGACAGAAAGAAGAACTGCCGGTGCGTGGACATGAAAGAAGAACTGCCAGTGCGTGGACATGAAAGAAGAACTGCCTGTGCGTGGACATGAGAGACGAACTGCCAGTGCGTGGACATGAAAGAAGAACTGCCAGTGCGTGGACATGAAAGAAGAACTGCCAGTGCGTGGGCATGAAAAAAAGAACTGCCAGTGCGTGGACATGAGAGACGAACTGCCAGTGCGTGGATATGAAAGAAGAACTGCCGGTGCGTGGACATGAAAGAAGAACTGCCAGTGCGTGGACATGAAAGAAGAACTGCCGGTGCGTGGACATGAAAGAAGAACCCAGTGCGTGGACATGAAAGAAGAACTGCCTGTGCGTGGACGCGAGAGACGAACTGCCAGTGCGTGGACATGAAAGAAGAACTGCCAGTGCGTGGACATGAAAGAAGAACTGCCAGTGCGTGGACATGAGAGACGAACTGCCTGTGCGTGGACATGAAAGAAGAACTGCCAGTGTGTGGACATGAAAGAAGAACTGCCAGTGCGTGGACATGAGAGACGAACTGCCAGTGCGTGGACATGAAAGAAGAACTGCCGGTGCGTGGACATGAAAGAAGGACTGCCGGTGCGTGGACATGAAAGAAGAACTGCCGGTGCGTGGACATGAAAGACGAACTGCCAGTGCGTGGATATGAAAGAAGAACTGCCGGTGCGTGGACATGAAAGAAGGACTGCCGGTGCGTGGACATGAAAGAAGAACTGCCAGTGCGTGGACATGAGAGACGAACTGCCAGTGTGTGGACATGAAAGAAGAACTGCTGGTGCGTGGACATGAAAGAAGAACTGCCAGTGCGTGGACATGAGAGACGAACTGCCAGTGCGTGGACATGAAAGAAGAACTGCCGGTGCGTGGACATGAAAGAAGGACTGCCGGTGCGTGGACATGAAAGAAGAACTGCCAGTGCGTGGACATGAGAGACGAACTGCCTGTGCGTGGACATGAAAGAAATGATTGCCGTGACAAAGACAATTATTGACAGTTATGGACTCGTTTTGCTAAAAAAAACTAAATAATATTTACTTTCAAATAAGCCTCTAATTATTATTCAGCAATTTCAAGTAGATTACAAAATGATTTTATAGGTTTATGCTAGGAAACTCGGTTTACGATGTAGGGGGAGAACTTTTATCTTCGGTATCTATTTTACTTATCTATAACTCTAGCTTTCAACCATTCTTAGACTATTGCTGCCACATATGGTTCGGTGCCCTGGTATTTACATTGAGCTCCTTGAGCATATCTAAAGGAAAATCTGCAATATTATTGGCCCTGATCTGGAGGCTCAGCTTCAGTCATTTTCCCACCGCCGTAACGTTGCATATTTTTTCTATAAATACTTTCATGGTAATTGTTCGAATGAGCTCTTCGCTATGCTACCTAAAATTTATGAATTTAATCGCAGTACTAGCTAGATGTAACCGTAAGTTCTATGCTAACAGTTTCTTCTCTGGCACTTCTAGATGATGGAAATCCCTTCAGACACCATGCTTTCCAGACAACCTTAATCTGCAAAAAATTAAAAGTAATGTCAATCGTTATCTGCTGTCCTCTTGATTACTCTCTTCTTTTTCTAATCATTATTGTTTCTGCTCCTAATTCTTCCCCCACGCCCTGTAACCATTTATGCTTTAGTGGGTATTACTGCCTTTTAAAAAAATCAATTGATAGCATAATAGCTAATATTATTCGAACGGGATTCGAAAGTTCACCGTTCATTTCAATTCAAGCAGTTGAGACTACTGACTGAACTACGCCTAACAAACTTTCGTTATCAGATAGGTAAATGGATGTAAAATAAATCAGGGATTTTTAGGATTATATGATGTAAGTAATAATAAGAAATGTATCGGAATCAGCGATAGAAACGTAAGCTCCTTTCAGGTTCAAAAAACTAAATTGATTAAGCAAATGGACGTTGGAGAAGATGTATTGACAGGTGAACGAAATTGATTAGAAACACAGAAGAAGAATAGTTTTTCATTCGGCTGTTTCATTCATTGTGTTTCCCATAAACTTAATTACTTCAGTTGAAATGCTGTGAAAGATAATGCAGGTAAAATATCTATTCACATGTAAGCATATGTTGCGAATTTGCATTTTCCAGTACAACGCGAAAATTATCTTCAAGGATTTTAATATAAATATTCCATTACTGTGCAACAGAAGGTGAAACTATATATCCGGTAAAATATTGGTCGTAAAGCAGTCGCTTGAAAAGATGTAATATTCTTGAAAAAAAAATAGAGGATTTTTTTTCAGTTTGGAACAAAAAGGGTGAACTGTAGCGATATCTGGGATGAAGCCGCTCCGTCCTTAAATTCCATTTTTTTTTGTTCGATTTAAAAATCTTTTACGCATTATTTTGAGTGAGGACTTTATTTTCACTGCAGACGCGACGTCGCAAAACTATCGATATTCTGTCGCTACTACCATGACAAATGTTGAGATGATGTCCATTCTTTAGTTGTACCAATTCCAGGAATTTCGCGCTAGTCATTTCCACCAAACAACTTTTTACCTAAGAACTGACAGTTTGTCGAACCGAATCTTTGCTTCTTCGTGTCATGGGCTAATCTCTATCTGACCTCCTTATCCTCGTTATTTTGATATCTTACCATCTCTTCTTTCCTTAATATCACACACCTCCTTCATTAATTTAACAATAATACTCAATGACTCTCTAGAATTCTATTAGGAGAATTTTAGTATACAGATGCAAAACACTTTGCAATCATTTGATATTGTACAGCCGTTTGAATTGAAGCATATACAAGATAAAATAAGCGAACAAACTTTTCAGCATGTTGACAGTTTTTTGTAATGATAAACATTATAAAAACATGATTGACAAAACAAAGATAGGCATTGAACAGTTACATAACAAGAACGTTCTCTTACATGAAGAACCAGCTAAAGAAAAGTAAAGTGATATATTTCAAAACTTTTTAATGTCAATGTAGATGTTATTTGCTCACATTGATGAATTTTCATATTTGATGTAAAGAGGTATAGAGTGTTTATCCATACATTATCTAAGCAGTATATAGATGCTTTGCAGCATAAATACGCCAACCTGTCTGATTACAAATCTTTAGGATACGACATCAAATATTTATATAACATAATGTATTTAAAAATTGAAATAAAAGTAATGCCATTTTAGGGTTTTCATTAATTGGATTCCTGACCAATATCTAAAAATATAAAACTCATACATTTTTTCCTGGTTCTGCCTGCAACTTTAGATGTTCAGAAATAGGCTTCTCAATTTTGGACAAAATTCGAGAATCCAATGGAAGCACAATAGTTCAAGATTTGATGCCTTCAATTTTTTAACATCCCATCGAGAAACAGATACGTTTTGATTAAGAACAAAAGAATAAAAAATATATGACGACATACAGGTATGTCCTATAAAACCGAATCAATTTGAATTAATG